TGTTGTACGATATTTATTGCACTTGGAGAGCATTGTACAATCCTACTGGTTGTAGTACATGGCAACAGGATGTCATGCGCATCACAGCTGCACTACCAAGAACATTGCAATGACAGTTGGAGCGCTGCCCGCATGGTATGGGTATGATGAGGTTCTGGTCTGTGCATGAGGCTATCATGGCCCACCCTGCTTTAAACTCTCAACAGTCATGCCATGCTTGGGCAAGCATAGGGCTGGACAATAATTTGATATTGATACATATCACAATATACTTTTGTTCAATAACGGTGATATGAGTTTTAAGCACATTTTTGATATGTCAATATACATTATGCTATGATTACAGCGTTTCACTGACGCAAAAAACTATTACTACTGACAAAGTTGAGAGTTTTATGTTTATTTGATGGCGATTTCAAATGTCTTTGAAGGCTAAATACAAAATAAAAGGTGACATTAATGTATTTGCACAGTTTGCACAGTTTTTATGAGGCTTTTATATTGTTTATATCAATATTGGAATTATATCGTTATCGACCAAAATTAGGAAATAAATTGCGATAAAAGTTTTGTCCGTATCGTCCAGCCCTAGGCAAGCGCATACTGAATTTGCAAGAACTTGGATGATAATCCACCACAATCTCACTACAGATGATTTGGGAGTGCTCAAAACCCTCCACAGCCTATCACACATAAAGGGGATCATTTTGTGGTCCTAATAAGTCCCTGAAGCCATTGCCAAGACCCTGCAAAGTCCATCAGTGTTCTGGGTGACCCTTTAATGCTGGAGGCGGTCAAACAATATTTAATCCATGAAAGGATGATGCATCGTGAGTGACCAGGAACTGAACTTTGAAGTAGGGGTGCACCAATAAGGCCGATTTATCAGCCCCGATTTCCTTAATTTTAGGAAAGCGGCCGATACTTGCATGAGAAACCGATTTTACCTATATATTTTTTTAGTTTTAACAACAATTGTCTAAACTTCATTTATATTTCAGAGCACTACCTCATGGCCACTTAAAACAAGTTTGTACTGTTTCTAGGATATTGTTCAAGGGTATGTTTTCAATAAAATAAGATTAGAAAATTGAAGGTGCGTTGTGATCTTATAACTCTTGACAGTGTTGCTTTTAAAACAAAATCGGTATCGGACAAAATCGAAATCGGCAGGTCAGACTTTTTAGAAATCGGTGATCGGCCAGAATACTGCAATCGGTGCACCCCTACTTTGAAGTTTTAAATAAATAGATTTAATTAATTGATTTATTTGTTTAATTTTAGCGACGTGACCATGAACGCAATGTAATGTACAGTTTGGGCCAGTTTAAACAAAAGGAAACAATCCACCAGTCCTCCCTGCTAAAGCCCATCTAAAACGACACTTCTTCTTCCAGACGGCTGCAACGACCGAGTGCGGTTCCTAAAAATACAAAACAGCAAAGCCAGATGTATTGTTTGCTTTATTGCACTTTTCTCTTTATCCACAAAATACTGGGTACTTTTCGTCTTTCTCACATGTGATCGACCTTGAGGTGTAAAACGAGACAAGTTGCTTTTAGCTCTTAGTCCCTGGTTCCAGTCATCATCAGTTGCATCCCTAAACTTTGTCAGAACACCTCCTCAGCGTTTAGAAACACACCAGGTGGATTTTCATCCGAACAAAGCTTCATTCTGTGATTCTTATCAACCCGGCTTCCCTCGTCAAACTGTGTGTACGAACGTGTGAGAGTACACTTTTTGTCAAGGAAAACAAACACACCCAACCACATTCCAGCTGCTTTGAACAGGCTCACCTTGTGTGCCGCTCAGTTCAGACTCTTCAGTGTGTTTCTGTGTGAATGTAGGAGCGATGAAGGTCAACCTGCAGGAGCAGACCTCCCATTGCTCCTCAGTTAACCTTTAACTCAGTTCTGTGTTAGTCAGAGCACTAAACCAGCTGTAGAAAGGGGCTTCAGGACATAATGTAGTTACGTGGTTTTATAAAAGTAGGTGTGAGCTCTGCCGAGCGCCGGTGGAGGCCTGAGCTACAAACATCAGAACACCAGAACATCTAACAACGAGTTTGGAATCTTGACGCCAAACGTGCCCGGACTGCGAATCTCGCGTTTTCTTTTTTTTGTTTCTTTTGATTTGCAGCAGAACGTCTCTAACAGGAAAGTTGACAAAAGACTTTCTAAGGAAAACTGATTCTTCTAGTTTTATTTTGAATACCCTCCCTTCAGTATAAGTAGGAAGTATGTGTACATACAAGTATTATTATCGGTGCACGGTGGAGGCAAACAGGAAGCTTCCCGATGCCCACATAGAAGTAAGTTAGCCGAGCATGACAGCTTTTGTGGTTTTAAGCTACTACAGCATTTCCTCTCTAGGCTGAAGTACTTTTCTACACCCAATATGAACTGTACTACTAGATGAACCATGCAGCTCTTACGTTACAATTGATCTGGTTCAGCTTACAATCAGGCTCCTTTACCAAATGCATTAGAGATGTTCAAACATGGATGGAGATCAGCTGTCCTAATCTAAATAAAACCAAACACAAATCATTCGGATAATTTAATCTCCTAAATGGTAACAGTGTCATCAGTTTTAGAGTCTTATAGTCACGTGTCTGCCAGGAACCTTGGTGTCATTTTCATTAGTGCTTTTAATTTGAAGAAACACATCAGCTCAAAACAAACTTATTTTTCTCCAACTACAACTTCTCTGTGAAATAAAAGCCTTTATTCCATCTGATCAACATGGATTACTGTAACCATATGTCTGTTGAGCAATCATCGCTAAGACGCCTGCGAGCAGTACAAAACGCAGAAGCTCACCTTCAGACTGGACAGAAAAAGCAGGATCACGTCAGACCTGTACTGCCCTCCAAACAAGAGATCCTGTATGTGGCAGGATTCAGTTAAAGCTTGTGTTGCTTGTTTTTAAGAGTCTATATGACATGGCACCACCTGACCAGTCTGAACTCCAACCTGAACTTTCAGGTCCACAAACCAGTTCCTCTTGGTCTCTCCCAGATCTTCTCAGTAGTAGCTCCTGATAAGTGGAACAGCCTGTGTTTGAAAATCAGAGCTGCTCAAAATACTGATCATTTTAAATCTGAGCTAAAACTTCATCACTTTTCACCGGCTTTTAGATCAAGTTCATCAGAATTAGAGGATTACTAATCCTTGGCACCAGCCTGCCGCCTGTCATGGTGGCCGTCTCCATGATCCTCCATCTGCCTGAATGGACCAAACGCTATGGAACTGTTCGGTTCCACAGGGAACTTTGAATGGTCTGTGTCTGCCGGACCCAATTCTGGAGACAATCGTCCATTGCTGCAGTGGTTATAATCATCATGCTGCTAACAGGACCACACTGCTAAAATGACCAAGCTGCTAGCAG